GGAATATACTCCATAGACTACACGCAAGACTTCTCCGGAACTTTGGATAGAGTCGCATTGGTGCGTCGCTTGCAGGAGTTGGGATACGTACTACAGCATAGTAGCGGTTGGCGCAATGGTACGATTTTGGAGAACACGCACCAAGTAGGCGGGCATGTTTGTACTTGGACGGAAGATGGCAAACGCACGAAGATATACAACAAAATAGTCTCCAACTTCGAAGCCGGAGAGGTCCAAAACCCAGTAGGTGCAAAGCTAGCCGAGTATGTAGACTGTCCAAACGAGCATCTTAGGAAGACATTCCTGCACCCAGACGTGCAAGCGAGAGGATGCACAAGGGTAGAAATATCCATCTACGGCAAAGGCTTCTCCACATCCCACACCAATGCCATCTCAGAAACAATAGAACCCCTACAGGACATATTCGTAGTGCAGCCACCCAAGAACATGTGGCTTGCCCTTGCAAAGTGCTTGGATAGGTGTCTTTGCATTTGCTGCGAGGAGACAAAAGAAATATTCCTTGCGTGGTACTGCAATTTGGCAACTGGACGCATAGCTGGCGTACGAGTGCGTGGCAACGAGAAGTGGGAAGAGTGCATACTTTGGACCATAGCAGAGTTTGGTTTTCGTAGGTGCCCCATCTTTCGTGTCGATGTGCTTGGGATGGAACCCGTGGAGATAGCTCCTCTGCGGTGCTACACAAAAGACTCTCCTACGATATTGGCAGAGTCCAATATGCCTACGCGCGTGCACAAAGATCCRCCTACGATCGCAGAGATGCTGCCCACCACAGAGCACGTAGAATGGATATGGCGCACCAAGAAGGCGCAAAGGCTAGGAGTGGAAAAGAGTCCCTTTGGCATACTGGAAGTACCCAGCGACCGTCGGATATCCTTCCTGTCCAAGAAAAGACGCATGCTACTGTTGGAGGACATAGCAGATAGCCTGGAAGGCGACGAGTGGGTAGAGGCTACGAAGATATACCATTCCGAGCTACTGGAAAGAAAGAACAACATCCTGCAAAAGAAGGAAGAGGACAGGAAGGCCTTGGAAGAAGCATTGGCAAAGCATAGGAAAGTCGTAGAAAGAATGGAAAGAAGAACAGACAATCTGCGGAAGTTGTTCTTTGGCGAGGAAGGCCCCGAGTTCTACCTAGGAGATTCCGCGCCGCGCAGGGCCAAGGTGCACAGAATGCAAGAAATACCTCCAGGAGACTACAAGATACTGGGATACATAGTACCAAGGCAAATAGATCCTACTTGGCCAGCAAGAGGACACCGCGTAGCATTGCGAAAAGGCAGAGAGACCTGCATTGCATGGGCTACGGAAGCAATCCTAGAGGCCTGCAAAGCCGGAAAGTTCGAAAAACAGTACAAAATACACACCGCCATACCCCAGGAAGAGGTATTGGTAGAATGRCACAAYGGTGTTGCCACTGYCTTCGTACCCGAAGGACCGGGGTTGGATACGTACCACGAGTTGGTTTCCAAACTACGTACTAGCGTATCCAAATATCCCGGTAGGCTGCTACAAGTAGATGCACCACCCAACAAGGAGTGTGTGCAGGCCTTGCATATGCAGGAAGGCGAATACCAATGCTGGCAATATGCAAAGACTTCGTATAGAAAGAAGGAAAGGACAATCCTGTTCCTGTCGGAGAAGTGCCCAGAGTGCGTATTGGAGGGCTGCACCGCCGAGCATACTACTACCCCTGTTTGGGGCCACTTCCTAGAAAAAGAAGCACAAAAGATAGGCTGGGAGAATGCCCCGCCATTGTATTGCAAGATAGGCAGGGAAAAGACTACTGCTAGCAAAAGAAAGGATAGAATAGTACATCTCTCTACTCCGGAATCCTAGGC